AAAGTCTGTCAAAATTATGAGCAGAAAGGGAGATTTTGAAGTTAATCGGAACATTGACGCTTCACTTTGCGCTCATACACCCTCACTTGTGTTTCGCGGTATTTATATATCCCAAGTTGTTTAGAATTGACATACGGCCGCCCTCTATTATGCAAACGTGAAAATTTTCGTCCAAATTGTTTCAAATGATACTCCCGTGTTTAGAATTGACATACCGCTGCCCTCTATTGTGCAAACGTGAAAATTTTCGCCCAAATTGTTTCAAATAATACTCCCGTGCTTATTTGATTCAAAGTGTCGTATGAGAACTTTCGGGTGAATGTTTTCGCGTTTGCATGAGAAAGGATACGAAAGTGTTAATCTAAAACAATTTAGGACATATACAAATGCTATTCAAGTGCTAATTAGTCTTAAAATAAAGAGGGTACTCCCTCTTTATTCTCCAATGCTAAGATAGTCACACATCCAGAGCTAATAGCCTTTTAGTCAGTTCTGAGAATCTTCATGCACGTGGCAAATATTAGTCGGTGCATAACAGGTATTGTATAAAAAATGCGTTTGTTTATTTGTTTGAGAGTTCATTAATCACTATCCCTGATAAGCTTTGAGAAGCGCCGCCTACTTGGATACAAGTGGCAGTATGACTTGGTCTGCCTTGGCTTTTAGTCAGTTTGTATACATCTCAGAGACTTTTTACCGTAACAGACTTCATATAAATAAAGAGAGGATGATATAAAAGATGGACAAATTTTCAAAACAGTCATTTTTGGACTTTTAATCCCAAAAAAAGACCTAATTTTCAACTTATTTTCCGAAATCGATTTGGTTTCAGCTTCAGCGCTGAAACCAGGTCGGTTTCTAAAAAAAAAAAATCTGAAACTTCACAGAAGTTGAACTCCTTCACGGGAGTTGAACTCCCGTGAAGTTTCATAGTTCAAAATTTTTTTTTGAACTATGAAACTTTACGGGAGTTCATGGAGTTTAGTTAAGCTTACTAAACTTCACGGGAGTTGAACTCCCGTGAAGTTTCGGATTTTTTTTTTTAAAAACCAACCTGGTTTCAGGCTGAGGCTGAAACCAAGTCGGTTTCTGAAAATAAGTTAGAAATGGGTTTTTTTTTTACGATTATTATTGTAAACGGGATTGTTTTGAAAATTTGTCCTATAAAAGATTATTTACAACTGACTCCTTGACAAACAACAATTTGGCACGAGCAAAGCAGAAAAAAAATTCCATCCATAGTTAAGTCGGAATCCAATACCATGGGAGCCACCCAAAATTGACCCCCAGCCATATTTTTTTCCTGTCTGAGTACAATTTTCCAGAACTTATCAATTGGTCTCCAGCCCTTTCTGGAACTTTTTCAAACAGTCCTCAGATGATACGCTCCAAAATCACCGAAGCGTACAGATCGAGAAAACAACAAATTCTAATCTATTGATGCTTTTAAACAAATGACAATTCAGGAACAAAAGTTAACAAACAAGTGTCTACATGACTTGCTACACCAATAAAAGAGAGAGAGGTTAACCAAATTAAATCAAACCTCCCCCCCCCTGTTCTTATCCTATACCTAATTCACAGACAGACAAAAGAGGTTCAAATCACAGAACCTCATATTTTCCTCCTACAACATTTTTTTTACCCCCCACCCTGATTTTATCCTTCTCCCTCCTAAAACAACATAAAAGGCTTCATGTAAGTCAAAAGAATGAATGAATCCAATCAGAGAGCTATAGTCACCCTTAGTTTCGCCCCGTTTCGATCAGATCAGATCAGATTTACCATCATCATCATGTACAAGTGCCAGAAAAAAGCCCTGGCATAAGAATATTCTTCAGTGAGCAAATATTACACATTATCTCCTAACTTACCCCACTCCTTCCCCCTTTATCTGTACTCCTTTGTACAATAGTGCTTGATTAGGTTTTTGGGTCTCAGATGAGCAGGCAAGGCTCAGCCTGACCGGGCTTGGCCTGTAACTTAGCCTGCTGTTGAGACCAGTAAGCATGGGCCGAGAGAACCCGATCCAAGAGTTCCTGAGGAACCGGCTCGCCTCGCCTCTGCTGAGGCGAGATTCTGGCAGTGTGCACCAAAGTCTTCCATTTGTCCTGTAATCACAATAAACAAAAAAGTTAACAGGGTAGTTTATGAACTAGTTTCCAAATACATCAAATTGAGTTCTCCGTTGAATTTGAGTGCTCGGAAGAACCGTGCACAACTGGCGTTCACGGTTTTTAATAATATATAAAGAATTTGTTGCGTATAGGTCTGAAGGACGGAGCTTTCCTAAAGTGGGACTTCAGTTTCTTGTTGCCAACCTATTTAGAAATAGGAAATATTGGTGGATTTGGTCTCTAGGTGTCCATCAGAATTTTAACTTAAATTATATAAGCAGCTCGTGTTGAATTGACAGCTAAAGACATCAATGAACAAGAGAAGAAACTTCTTACCTTGAGATCAACATAGGTTCGGTGCTTTGCGTTGTCGAAAGCTCTGATTTTGACATCTCTCCACCTATATAAAAAAGATATCCAAAGTTTCCCATAATTAGCAAATAGACAATCAGTGGTATTAAATGATGATAAAAGGATATTTTCTCGGATATATATACCTTCCGGTTCCTAACTTTTCGACAGCTTGGACTAGGGCTTCAACCTCGGCGACAGAAAAAGGCCGTCGGATCCTGCGCTGGACAAGCTCTGCTCGCCTCGATTTGCGCAGAGGAACGACAGCCAGAGGGTCAGCGTTCATGTCAGGGACAGGAACAAGAGCTTTCGAGCTTGCTTGTTTATCTACAGATGACGCTTCAGTGTGAGAGTGAACTGACTCGTGATCACTATCAACACCGTTGTTCAAGGTCGAAGTTCGATGTGGTTCTGGTGTTGTGGTTTCAGGTAGCCATTGCTCTATAGCAGGAGTTGGAGCTTGAATCCTGTAGGAGAAACCAATAGAATGTCAATATTTCATTAAACAAGAGAATCACATAGGTCAATTACTAAGCTGCATTTTCACATTTTACCTTTCGATTGGTTCAGTAAGAGCACAAGGATTAGGGTTAGGGTTAGGGGGAAGCAGAGAGTTTGGATCTTCTGAGCATAAAAGTGTCGGTGGAGCTTGTGCCGAATTAGGCTCCAATGTAAAACCCAAATTCTCCATCTTATCATTGTGAGATATTCCTGCCTGGAGGAGAGTTTGTTTGTCATCTCTAACTTTCTTCCCTTGAAGAAGAACACCGACTCGGAGTCCGCCTGCGAGTATAGCAGTCACAGCTTCCATAACTGTCCTCTGCAATGCAAAACAGCCAGGAAAAACTCATGTTAAATGAGGAATCCCCCATATTTTTGGTGAAGAACAAGAATAAATGCACTAGAAGCTTATTTATCTTAAGAATAGTTCAACTTCTTTAAGGACTTACTCCAGACATGGTATAAAGCTAAAAATTAGAGAACAAATTTAGTCTGTAAACTAATTCAGGTAAGAATGAGGTTCTAAAAAAAGGAAATATTGATCTATGATCAAAATGGAGGTTATAAATGATTGTAAAGTATGACTAGGACAATATCAGGCACTTGCACTAAAAGGGCTTCTATTTTGCCTAAAATGGTTTTGAATAGGTGTATATAAATTAGCTATTGCTACAGTCCAGCCCGGTAATACAAGCTGCTCTTAAGGTATACGTTTATCTGATGCAAGGTCAAGGCTTTAATTATAATGCAATATAATGCACAGGTTAAAGCAGCTAAATGATACAAGTCATTTAACCAGAGTCCTATACCTTTAGAGAACCAACTGTAGCAGTTTCAGGAATCTCGATAAAGAGTTCAGGCACCTTGAATGACTTGATACTAAATTTCACTGCAAATAGGAAAAGGAAGACGCTTCTCAGAACCTCATCATGCTATTCAACGGGGGTGATAAATAGATTAAGTTCATCAGGTTATTCAAGACAGGCCACTAACCGTGATAATCTCCTGATTCATATGATGATTTTGAACCTGTAGTCGAGGATGATGCTCCATTTGCTGTAAGAAACAAGGAAAACCTTTTAGACCAAGCTTAGGTAAGAGTTTGGTAGGTATAAATAGCTCAACTGACTGATGACCAACCTCCTTTCAGGCTTGCAAGTGCATCAGATGCTTCTATCTTAATGCCACCAAACTTTGGAGATTTAGTAATACCTTCCCCATAAATGCCCCCAGCAGATGCAGACACTGATCGACGCTGAAACAACTTCCTCCTCTTGAACGAAGATCGTTGAGTCCTTTGTCGGGTATAACACATTTTCCTGCTGCGGAAACTAGGTTTCAATTCTACATCTGATGAGCAAAACACCAATTAAATTCTCCAGTTAGTGTCAACAAATGATAACCATATAACAAGGGAACACGATAAGTACTTCACAAAAACACACCAGTATTTGAGAGCTCCCCATCCTTCAATGTCGCCAGTGGAACTTTCCAGAAATTAGATGCCAATAGCTTCCTTATCCTACTATCTCCTATACGCTGCGGCCTAAAGGCTTTAGCAATGTTAGCACTTGGATGAGTACATCCAGAAGAGTTTTCGTCATCATCTACAATGTCCATTCCATTCCTACACTTATAGAAGGGACTATTACGAGAAATAGGGACTTCGACGCTGCTGTCAGAGCTGACCAAAGCAGGAGGTGGTTTAGCATCCAAATCCATTGGGTCCTCCAATATCTCCGGGATTATTTTCCCAATCAAATTCCCGTTTATTCGCCTTTCACCTTGGAGTGGAGTCTTGATTCCATCCTCAGCCACCAATTCTCCAGCATTCTTCTCCAAGGATTTTGGAGTACCAACCTGCCATTCCATCCTCAGCCACCAATTCTCCAGCATTCTTCTCCAAGGATTTTGGAGTACCAACCTGCCTCTTAAACATAGATTCCGAAGACCAATTCTCCAGCATTCTTCTCCAAGGATTTTGGAGTACCAACCTGCCTCTTAAACATAGATTCCGAAGATCCCAATGCACTTTCATTGCAGCTCCCCTGATCAAAGACTTCAGCTTTGAATGGAATCTCATTGTCTTTCTGCTCTTGCTTAATGTTAGCTCCTGCAGATATCGTACATGGAGGTGGAGAATTCTCTCTTTCTGAGGATAACAATTCTCCCGCCACAGTGGCAAGCAGATCAAATGCACTGATCTGCTTCTTGTCGTCGACCTTCTTTCTAACTGATCGTTTTCCCTGTATGAAAACAAATGCAAACAATTAAAGAAAATTCAAACAAGCAAATCAAGAATGAGTAAGGTTTATGTACAGACCCTAGCTGATCTCGGAACTCGCGGCATCGGGGGAACCCGATAGCCGCTGGATCCATAGTCCAATCTCTTGTGAAGCACCATGTTTCAAATTGTCAATTTTCACTACAAAGGTAATTATTTAGGCTTCCATTAACTGATCACAAAAACGAATCTTGTTTATTGATCTATAGGTTGTCTCTCACCAATTGACACTCCAAAAACCTGAAACAAAAAGCGATCAAAGATGTCAACGTTTTGATGATTTTAATCATAAAAGGGGCAAAAATAATCAATATCATGAAAAAAAAAAGCTTAAACCCCACATGAGAAAAGTAACAATAATTAAATTGGATTCCATTGTCAAACTCTTCTGTGATCAAAATCCAATCTTGTTAGAATATTTGTGCTCAAAATGGAAATATCCATGTTCGGAAATAGAGATTTAAATAATGGATAAAGATGAATAAGAAGAATTTAGACACAGAAAAAAAAGGAAAATCAGTTCAAGAATTATTGCAACTCCCGGATCATCTAAAACCCTGAACCTCCGCAAAACCACGAGATCTCAAACCAAGATCAGAATTTTGCGCCCAAAGACTTGTGACTAATAATATAATAATATATTTCACGAAACCGGAGGTTAAAAAAAAGGAAAATAAGAAAATAAAAAGAATAACACGTTACCATTGATCTTAAACAACAAGGAACAAAAGGCTGTAAACGAATCGATCGGATCGAAATCATAAAGAAAAAGAAAAGATTTCGTAAACCTTAAGAAATTAGGATTCCAGATCAAAATCCCTTCAGGAAGTAATCCGATCGGAGTAAATTATGGAAATTTAGATCAATTCCATCAATAAGAATCTCATCCTGCTTACGTTTCAGAGATTCCAAGAAAAAATTCCAACAGTTCTTAATACAAAGAAATCCAAATTGTCTTCCTAATAAAGAAAAATATCGAAACAACAGGAGAAAAAAAACTTCAAATTAAAAAAAAAAACCTTGGAATGAATCCGGCAAATTCTCCGTAAAATCAATGGAAAATGAACCAAATTTGTAGCTAGATATCAACCAACCTAGCAAGTTTCAAGCACTAACCTTTGATTCCTCGCTTAAACCTCTTAGATTCCTCGAACTTCTCGCCAAATTGAGAGATCGCCTGAAAAAAAACCAAACTCCGACGAACCACGAACAATTCGAAGCGAATTCGACCGAAGAATTACGCCAATGATATTCAGATCTCGATCCCAACTCAGAATTGAGATCGCCAACGCTCTCGATTTCTCCCTGAATTATTTCGATTTTCGAACTAATTTAAATTATTTGTTTTCCTAAATTTTATTTTTCTCCCTCTCTCTCTCTCTCTCTCTCTTATTACCAGATCGCAAAACCCTGAAAACCACCCCCCTCCGCTAAACCCCCACGTCTTATACAAATGGGCCCCCGCCACCGACTCTCCCGGTAATTCTCCACACGCTTACGGGTTACACCCGGTCACTCGAACCACCAGGACCATTTCCTATCGTCGGCCGCTCCCGAGCATAACACGTGTCCCCTTCTCTGAATCGAACGGTCCCGTAAATTTAAGTTGTTTCGGAGGAGTTTTGCTTAAATCTCCCTTGATTTCACAAACTTAACAAAAACAACCATATGATATTGAAAGTTTTCAATTAAGGACTCGATACGTGCCGTTCTGTGTCTAAAGTAGAGGGGGGTTATTAAATAAACTTATTTAACTCTAGACAAATAATCTTTTATTTCGCTGATTAATTAATCTTTTCAGTTAATAGCTTGTCTTTACTCAACTCCATTTAATCTCCTCGTATTTAGTTTTTGAACAAATATTGATTACGTGATGTCATGTCATTTTCTTGTCCTTTTCTTGGTATATTGCGGTAATTATTTGGAGAGTTGAAAAAAAAAAGTACCTATTTACGACCACTCGTTTCGAGTTGGGTGCCACGTAGGAAAAAGCGGAGTGCCACCTGGAAAAGGAGCATTACCCTATTTTGTCATTTTCATCTGCTAATTATCTTCAAAGAAATTCAATTTCCTAATTTTTGAGATGGAGAGCATCCGGAGTAGGATGGTGCTGGCTGGGCCCCACGGCCACTTTCGTTAAAGTTGACGGCGTTCTGCGTCGAAGCTGCTGACGTGGCAACGGCAGGGGCCACGAAATCAAACGGCGTTGCTTTCGGAGATAAGGAAGGAAGGGGTTGAGGTTGCGAGCGAGTGCGTTAACGTGTGGATGAGAGTGGGGTTTAGAGATAAAATAAATATGAATAACTTGGAATGTTATTATTATTATGAAATTAAATTTAAAAAAAAAACTAGAAATAGAATAAACAGAGGTTGAAAGCACGACGACACGATCGCATTGTTCGACACGTGTACGTTTTACCGGTCGTCTCGCCGTTGCTTTTCTTCTTCAAAGTTCTGACCTGCGCCCGTTTACCACGTGTCTGAGAGTTTAACGATTGGATAAGTACCGAGTTTACCGGCTGCTTGCCGGTAATTGCTCTTAGTTGTGGGAGTTTTTTGTGTAGGAGGGAAGGTTCTTTTTGCGATATCCCTCCTGTATAATTATATGTTCGTCTAAAGTACAAAATTGCATGTATGACCCTATATTTTGCATTTGATTTACCGTATTTGGATTTATTGAGGGCCGTATTCTTTAAAATATGGAAAGATTTATAGCGAATACGATTAAATTCGTTCGTATTTGTATGATGTGGAGGATAGGTATTGGATGCGCTTCGTTATATTTCAATTCCCGCATTTATGAGTAGATTTATTTTATTTAAGAACTGTATATTAGTATGTTATATTGTCGAATGTCATGTTGTTAAATATTAGATGTACGTAGTATATCCTAAAAATATTAGACTATTTTTTTTTAAAAATACAGTGGGTAATTTTGGATTTGGATCCTCTTTATTACCAAATAAGTATTGGAAGGGTCACAGCATAATTACAATCATTAATTTTTTATTGAATTATTATGTTTTTTTAGTGCAAATTAAGAATGAGCCTAATTCAAAAGTATGATCTGTTTATTTATTTTTTTATAGTGCCCCCATCATAAGAGTTTAATAAAACAACAAAGCAAATACAAAAACAAAAAGGCCTAATGTGAAAATAAAATATTCATAATTTTTCTTGTTAAGCAAAGCTTTCTATGAGCAGAAATGTTAGATGGATGCATATGAGCTCCCAAATCTTGAATACTTTGAGTTACTGTATGAAGATTACAAGCTTTTATCCTTTCTTAAGTTAGACTTATGCTCATAATTTTTTAGATATTTACACGTCGAACTTAATAAATACAACATATATAACTAACAAGTAACATAAGTTATACATAAAAGGAACTTCTTCACAACTCCATGTGCGATAGTGTAACTCTAAAGTCCAAGTTCAAAGCTTATCAAATTGGGTATTATTGTGTAATACGTACTAATCATAGAAAATATTGCACATGTGAAAAATATAAGTACATACACTTGATGATATCAAGCGAAGTACCAGATTGTATATCAATCATTGTAAGTACAGGTATAACTCGCATAGCTTTGTAAATCATTTTTATGATAAAACGCATCAAAATACAGTCTTTAATTTTCACAATCTTTTGGTTAATATGAGAGCAAATGTGAATATAACCATATTCACATGACTAGTAACCAGTGATCGATGTTTAATAAATCTATTATAAATGATGAAAAACTTTCCGGTACAAGAAATTAGGAAGATTAATAACTAACTCATCCTTAAATTATTGATGAGCTCTCAAGTTTTTTTTCTAAAGTATCAATTTACATATTTTGCTCTTAAAATTATGTGGTTTCAGTGTGATCCCTTTCAGAGTCTACAATCAAATATAAGAACAAATGTGAATGTAACGCTATTAACATGACTAGAAACTAGTGATGTTTAATAAATCTCTTACAAATGATGAAAAAGTTTCCGTACAGAAAATTAGGACGAAATAACTTTTGTACAGAAAATTAGGACGAAATAACTAACTCATATTATTGATGAGCTCTCAAGTTCTTTCTTAAAGTATCAATTTATATATTTTGCTCTTAAAATTATGTGGTTTCAGTGTGATCACTGTTTTCATCGAAAGTTATTTTCATTGTGGAATTCATTATATTTTCGATCGATTACAACGAATTCAAAAGAAAATAGTCTTTTTATAAGACCTCTTTTACACAACAAAAAGAAAATTACAACTTTCTAGAAAATAACATAGAAATCGTTTATCGACTTCTGCTTTTGTGGGACTTTGCCTGTGCCGGGGGTGCGTTAGCCCATGGACCACCAAATCACAGATTCTGGTTGAATCGTGAAGGCTTTTGGATATTCTTCTTCGTTTATCGAAGTAAGAATCTTTAAGTGAATATCTTATCGATGTAAGATGTTCACTCTTCTAAAGATCAAGTCAGAGCTTAAATCTCTAGGAATCGTCAAAAGCTTCTTGAGGATGTTTGTGAAGAAGGAAGATTCTCTCTCTTGCTCCAATTCACCAAAAGCTCAAGTCTCTATGCCCCAATCTGCTCTCCCCGTCCATTGTTTCGTATCTAGGAAGGTATTTATAGGGATAGGAGTGCACAACAGTGGAAACGGGGACGAAATAACTGACCGAGTGACTGCTCTTCGGGCGCACCAATTCACACTGCCGTGGCTATTGGCGCGCCAGTGTGGACTGGCACGGCCAAAGAGGCCGTTACAGCCACGTTCCCATCGTATTTGAAACTGTCCTCCCACGACTTTTAACCACTTTTTTCGTGGTTTAACTGCTTGTCCACGTTAGCACACGTTCTTTTTCTGATATGCCGCCACGTGGACCTTGAAAATCATCGTATAACTGCTTTGTAACCGTCGCAGCACCCCCCATGTAGTTTGCGCGCCACCATGGACTGACGTGCAATAGGCGCGCCACCATAGGCTGCCGCGCCTTAGGCGCGTCACCATGGACTGCCGCGCCTAAGGCACGTCACCATGGACTGCCGCGCCTAAGGCGCGTCACCACAGACTGCCTGTCAGTGTTCCTTGCCGTGGGTGTTCATATTGTTCTTTTATGTTGTTTCACATGTTCCTTTGCTTCTTTTGCCTTTGGATGATCTCCTCTAACTTAGATAGGGATATTCATATCTTTGGATGATCTCCTCTAACTTAGATAGGGATATTCATATCTATAGGTATTTTTATACACCTACAATCACTTTCATAGTCTACGATCAAATATAAGAACAAATGTGAATATAACTATGTTAACATGTCTAGTAACTAGTGATGTTTAATAAATCTATTACAAATGATGAAAAACTTTCCGGTACAAGAAATTAGGACGAAATAACTAACTCATCCTTAAATTATTGATGAGCTCTCAAGTTCTTTCCTAAAGTATCAATTTACATATTTTGCTCCTAAAACTATGTGGTTTCAGTGTGATCACTTTCAGAGTCTACAATCAAATATAAGAACAAATGTGAATATAACTCTATTAACATGAGTAGTAAGTAGTGATGTTTAATAAATCTCTTACAAATGATGAAAAAGTTTCCGGTACAAGAAATTGGGACGAATTAACTAACACTTATTATTGATGAGCTCTCAAGTTCTTTCTTAAAGTATCAATTTACATATTTTGCTCTTAAAATTATGTGGTTGCAGTGTGATCACTTTCATAGTCTACAACTCAAATATAAGAACAAAAATGAATATAACCATGTTAACATGTCTAGTAACTAGTGATGTTTAATAAATCTATTACAAATGATGAAAAAGATTCCGGTACAAGAAATTAGGATGAAATAACTAACTCGTTCTTAAATTATTGATGCTCTCTCAAGTTCTTTCCTAAAAGTATCAATTTACATATTTTGCTCTTAAAATTATATGGTTTCAGTGTGATCACTTTCAGGGTCTACAATCAAATATAAGAACAAATGTGAATATAACGCTATTAACATGAGTAGTAAGTAGTGATGTTTAATAAATCTCTTACAAATGATGAAAAAGTTTCTGGTTCAAGAAATTGGGACGAATTAACTAACACATATTACTAATGTGCTCTCAAGTTCTTTCCTAAAGTATCAATTTACATATTTTGCTCCTAAAACTATGTGGTTTTAGTGTGATCACTTTTAGACTCTACAATCAAATATTTCATGGATCAATTTGTCAGTTTGTCTCCTTTTTTTCTCAAACTACAGTTTTAAAACTATTTCCCCCTAAATTTGTTTACTCTTTGACACTTTTTATGAATTAAACAACATTTTTTAAAATTGCAGAAAAATTACTATAAATAAAAAAAAATCACTATAACTTTATTAATCTATTAATTATTTGGCTGTAGGTTCATAAGATGATCACATTGGATA